ATCAAAAATGAAAAAACCTAAACAATCTCTTTGTATACTTACAACATTACAGAACAACCCATTTACTGAAAAACCTTCATTTGCCAAATATTTACCTAATCCAAAACCTCTTATCATTAGTCCGCACAAAATAACGCCTTAATATGAAAGTTTCCCAACACTTTTTAACTTTCTTCATGACCCTTACTGTAACTGAACCCACGTGTGCGCCCGATGTCATTGTTCCATATTAAAGAAATACGATTCTAGAACGGACAGTAAATCGAAAGTTTCGAAAACCTTCATCATCTAAAAACATGCGTTTGCTAATGTCCAAAAATCATAAATACAAACCATATGTATCAACCAACGACTTCCACTTCACTGCTTCCTACTTTGATCAAAATCATACCATTTGATCGACAAATCGGAAACGTCAGTTAGCACAACCCAACCAAAGCCAGGCATACGTGTCTAAACTACAGGAGAGGTCGCGTGCCTCAGAAGTGCATTCTCGTAGGTATCTTCAAATTATCCATCCTGCAGACCACTGTATTTAGATCAATATCATACCATTCGACAGCCACTGAACACTACATATAGCATACCACATCAGAATCCCAGGGTACATGTGACAAGTAAGCAGGCAGCTAGCTTGGCTTTCGACATAGATTCGGGTAGGTATCTTCCCATTATCTACCATCGCGAGCATTACTTTACATTTAAAATCATAAAATTCGATACTCAACGGCATACTGCACCTAGCCTAACCGATCAAAACAAGACCAAACTAGTTTGAACTAAGAAAGCAGCTATGCGACCGAAATAGGTCGACTCCGGTGGATATCTACCGATTAACCACACTGCTGAGCATTGTGCCTCGATAAAAGTTATCATTCCACAGAGAATCAAATGCTGGACTGTGTAAAATGGATCCGACAGAGAAGATAACGTCCCAGATCAACATAACCAGAGAGATTTTCTGCTAGGGTCCATTGGGGTGGGTATCTGACCAATAACTCCCGTTCTTTGCATTGCTTTTACTTGAATATACAGTCATTCGATAGAGAATCGAATTCTACACTCAGAACAAGGCATCTGAGAGAGAGCACAACGTCAGGGATCGAGATCACCTGGAAGGTTAGTTGGAAGGGTCCATTGCGGTAGGTATCTGACCAATAACACCCGTTCCTTGCTTTGCTTTTACCTGAAAATACCACCGTTCGATAGAGAATTTAATTCTGCATCCAGCACAATCAGGTAGGAAAACAGCACATATCGATTTTCGAATCGGGACTGGAGATAATGTAAAATTTGATTTTCGGGCTGGTATTAGGCCATAAACCCCAACTTTTCGAACGACGAGGCTATCGAAAACGTATACCGTTGGATAGAGCGTAAAATTCTGCATCCAGCACAAGCAAAGAGAGGAACAGCACAGGTATATGCTCGAATCGGCAGTGGCGTAACCAGGATTTTTAGATCAATGGGCAAACTTCTCTTGTGCTCGAAAAAAATTATGGGCAAAATGGGCAAGATTTTCATTGATGGGCAAAAAATTTGTTGACTCAATCAAGTACTGATAATGTAAAAAAAACACAGAAAAATTAAATGAGATTCTTTTAATCAAATATGCATAAAACTCAGATCTTAAGCCTCTCCCCCCTCCCCACCCCGGTCCTCAAAACAAGTCAATTTTAGTCAAAAATATGAAAAATGAGATAATTGTGTTAAAACATAGCCCAAAGTCCGCCTTTTCAAAAAAGATATAGCTTTTTATTTGATGCATCGTTTTTAGCAAAAACTTTTGATGTTTTGCGTCACCGTCTGCTAAAAAAAATAGGCTGGTTTTTGGTAAGATTGAAAAATCTGTTTCGTTTTTCCTCAGTTCATAATTTGTCGAACGCTCAAACCAAATTTCTCCACCCAAGCTAATTATACAGGATGGTCCAAAAGTAACCGAACAGTCTTTGATTGTGAATAACTTTTGTTAAGAACAAGATAGAGAGCTGCGGCTTTCATCGTTTAAAAGAGGAAAAAGTCTGCATCGAATCTTGAATATCAGATTTTTATAACAATATTCGCTCGAAGTCTCCAGACAATTTTTGTGTAATGTAAAAGTTTTAGAATTTTTATTAGTGCACCAGAATCGTTAACTGAAGTTCAATAGTCTGTGTAGGTTCGATGCCAAAAAGATTTAGCAGATCATTAGTTCTTAACATTTTATTAAGCTTTCTCTTGGCACATTCTTGGCGAAAAGTCGACTATTTTTCTGAAATTTTTTTGAAAAATCCATCTTCTAGACTTCTTTACAAAGCTTGAATTTTTTTAAAACAGCTTGTCAGGAAACCATAAAAAATTTTATTATAAAAATCTGATATTCAAGATTCGATGCAGTTTTTTCTTTTCTTTTAAACGATGAAAACTGCAGCTCTCTATCTTGTTCTTATCAAAAGTTATTTGCAATCAAAAACTGCTCGGTTACTTTTGAACCATCCTGTATGCATTTAATTATTTTTGTTTGAAATAGCATGTCAAAACGTGCGGAACCAAAGAGTCCTTCTTTTTAATTAAATTTTTTCTCTTATATATATACAATCACTTGAAGAAATTGAGCTCTATTTTTAGAGAGTTTTTAGACTTATCAAACTTGTAGTTCCTTCTCTTCTTTCCAAAAATAAGAATTAAAAAAAATGAGTCTTTGATGCTTTGCATCCTGACATGCTCTTTCAACCAAAAAAAGAAAAATTAAATATCTTTGAAGAGTCTCGGTAGAGAAATTTGAGATGCGAAATCAGCTATTTTTGAACCTTCTTTGGTAAATGTCTGTCAAACGTCATGGTATAGAGCTGAAAATTTTACCATAGCTTCTTCACTACAACCACAACATATTCTCAAAATGTCATGGAATTAGAATGTTCCTGGGTTGAGATTGATTTTTGAGGATGGACAGACCTTCAGCCTGAGTCACATGTGTCTAGTCTATTTTTAATGTCTCTATTTATAAGATTTATATTTCAAATTCAAACACCTAAATCAAGACGACGATGATGTATTTGTGCATATAATTTCCATATTTCATCTGGATTTATATCGAGATTGCTATAGATGTATGCAGCACAAGAGGAAAACAGCTAAAAATCAGATTTTTTAAATTTTTTTTGGATGTTTTCTGATTTTAAACTGAAAAAAAAACAGCTGTTGCCCCCTTGTTGCAGCAGCAAAGAAATAAACAATTCTGAAAAGTAAAATTTCAATGGGCAAAGCGTTACTTTTAAAAATTACAATGGGCAAATCTTAAAATGAAATGGGCAATTGCCCATTTGCCCTCCCCCTGGCTACACTAATGCTTAACAACATTACTTTCATTATGGAGGAAGTTGAAGATATCCAATATATCGATAAGAATATCATTCGTTCATTGTCATCGGCTAATGATCATAATGTATTACAAGATAGTATGTATATCCAAACATTATCATAAATATAGTTTAGAAATACATTTCATATATTTCAGACAATGAACGACTTATAACCCGACAAGATCCAATAATTGATTCAGCCATGTTCAAAGCATATGAAATTTTACGCAAGATTGCACTTGATCATGGTCTTGAAAATGAATTGGCTGTCCCTCGTACTGTTCTTGTTGGCGACACATCATCAGGCAAATCGATGCTTATTCAAATGTTTCTTCGATTTCCATGTGCTTTTTCACAAGCTAATGTTGGTACTCGATGTCCTGTACAATATAAATTACGCTATGATCCAAATTTAAACGATGGTGAAATTCGTTTCATTCAACCAAAACATTGGCGAGCTCAGGATCTAGGCAAAAATTTACAAATAGAAATGGCACGTATCGAAAATGATCATAAAAATGAAGGTGGCTTTCGCCTTGAACCATTTATCATTGAAATTGCTAGCAAGCATTATACAGATTTTGAAATTCTCGATGTACCAGGTCTAATTAGCGGCGATCGAGATACAAACAAACGAGCAGCTGTTGAACGTATTACTGAACATTATGTTCGTGATCCAAGTTTTATGATTGTTCAACTCAAAGAAGCTCAACAATTAGCCGATAATACATACGGAACAAGACGCATTGGTGAACTATGTACTGATGAACCAGCTCATTGGGGTTCGAAATTTTCTGCTCGAAAAGATTATATTCAACATACAATTACAATACAAACTAAGTTCGATGCATTTATGCGTGAGCATGATAATGGTACGACAGCCAATGATGATATTAGAACACGAATCGAGATTTTTCCAAATACATTTTTCACCAATATGATCTTTGATTTGTAAGTATTTTTCTTTTCTATTCTTGTCGCTCAAATTAAAAATCAATTAATTTGCTATGATTTTTGTTTAATAAAAAAAAGGTACAATTTCACCGATCATTCATATGCAGAAAATGTTGAATATATTGCTCGATTGCCGGAAAGAGAAAAAAAGGAAGTTGACGAATGGATCGATCGTATCAATGCAAAGGCAGGTACAAGCGATTCCAAATATCATTTATTCAATCAACACTATCGTCCATTGATTGGTATTGATGTTGTTCGACAACAAATTCAAGAATTATGGTTACGGGTTCGTATATAGAAAAAAAATATATATATATTTTAAATTAATAATAACAACTAATATTTTCTGTTTTTCATTTAGGCATTTCGTGCTGCTCTACCACGATTACAAGAGACAATCAATCGACTTATTCGAAAGCATTCAGACGAATTTGAAACAGCATTATTTAATTTCGAACAACAAGATCCACGTACTGTACGCAATAATTATCAGAGATATATTGAAACATTTCGAACGACAATTAGTGACTACGCAGCTTATCGAGCTGAAGTCAATGCTTTGTTTCCATTGGATGAATATGGTCGAAGTTATCAACAAATCGAAAATGAATATAATACTTGGAATCGTAAGCAGCCACTTACATGGCGTGCTTATTTGTCTGCTGAACAACTGAAACAAAATTCAAATGGACAAATATTGGCTACACTTGATTTACGTTATATTGGTGCTCGACATTTTGAACGCTTAAGACAGGTGAGATGAAAACAACAGTTTTAATGGTCTGTAATTATTTTATCATAGTATCTTATCTATAAGAATGTCTACAGAGAAGGGCATTCTAGAAACAGGATTAGGGCGAAGGCTTTACTTAAACTTGGATACTCTTACGGTCGTCTAAGCAGGCTGGTTAGATCAGTTGGTTGTATAGAAGTAAATAAATATTTACTTCTATCTTGTCGAGTTTTGTTCAACAATGAAAATTACCTGAATGATTCTTTGTTCTGATCAAAATTCAGTTGAAAAATAATACTCTAATAAGTTCTATTTTGTAATGGATAATCGTATTTTATGCTTAGATTTTAGAGGCGTTCTTGAGTATTTTTTGATTGCAGAATTCTAAACATAAACCAATTTGAAATACAAGCAAAAGACTTAAGCTAAAAAAACAAATCTAAGTCGTCGATAGCGAGATAGTCGTGTCTTATCTCTGGAGGCAAAGAAAATGGATCGATTTAAGACTCATTTGTAGAATTTGCTATAAAATAAGTAACGCTCGTCATTGCGACTCGCTTGGCCATCGACTGAATATTCAACTCTTTCTGTGTAATATACTATTTTAGAAGTTCAATCGATACTTATATCAAATGTATTCATGAGTATGAGTATTCATGCTGTGTGATGCTTCTTGTTACCTATGCAACCAAGTATGTGTATAGCCATACCCAAATCCACCTACCATCACATACATCACATTCTTTCAACATCGAAATACCTGCTTGGAGGATAGCTAGATAAGAAAAATATCTGATTGGGCGGAAGCATAGTACAAAGTAATCATCTTAAATAGTTTGTCTGATTTTTCGGAAATACATATGGACACGTGTATGCAAACATACATAAATACAAATATATTTTATTTCATATAGTCATCCCGTCAGTTAAGAAAATTATGAGTATAAATTTCAATTTCATGTCTGTTCTGCTGGTTTTTCCTTTATTAGAACTTAATTATATGAGTTCTATATTCTAGCCTCATGAAGAACTGCGTTGATCAGTTTTTTTCACTAAAACAAATTCATATGTTTTATAGCAATGTTCAAATGCTCAAGTTTTTCTCTTTGTAGTCCTTATATTTAACTGACATTAATACGAATCATTAACATCTTTCTATTTATTTTAGGTATTTTCATACATGATATTGTCACATGAAGCATTAAATCGTGAACGTGATTGGTTTGAATCATCTCAATCATTATTATATAGTGGTGTGAGTGATTATGAAAATACAGAAAAAGCAGTACGTGAATCTCTTTTCACATTAATTCGTGAAACATTTTTAATTGGAATTTGTTGGTTAACACAAATGTATACATTTCTTAGTGATCATTTTGCCAATCATGTTAAATCGGCTTTACTCAATACGAAATTTTCTCATTTGGAAGAACATATCAAATTTTTAAGTTTAGTCGACCTTGAATATCATACAGTTACACGTAAATTCATTCGTAATGCTGTCACAGCTATTAAACACGCACGATATGGTAAAATGGCTTATGCTGTTCATAATATATGTGGTACTTTGAAAAATCTTGTCAGTTCATTTTCACATATGGATATGATTATTCAAAATAACAATGAAAATGAAAATAACGATAGTGATGGGTTCGGAAACACAATGATTAAAGTTGCTCAAGATGTTATACCAAAAATAGCAAGTGGTGTCAATCCTGTTACAGCTATTGCAGCTTCAGCTATTACTGCTGCTACAGGTCATAAAAATCCACTTAATTTAATTTATGCAACAGGAAAATTTCTTACAAATGATCGAAATCCACAAACAGTTAACTATTTACCACAAACACGTGACACAGTTAGTGAATTATATACGGCTGTACGTGGTCAACTTCTTCATGATATTACGACAAATTTTTTTGCTAATCTTGTTCTTGAAATTCAACAATATAAATCGATATCAATTGAAAATTCTCTACAAAATCGTCTAAATCGTATGTCAGATAAAGATATTGCTCATATGGCTAATATTGAAATTGAAAGTAGTCGTCAAAAAGTTATTAATAATCATGAAAATATCATACGACTTGAACAAGCACGTGATGCTATTGAAGATGCTATTGTACTTATTAACAATAAAAATATAGATAGCAATACATTTGAAATGAATGATGACAGTGATAATGTTAAAAAACGAATTCGTGCAACACATGAACATACACGTAGTAAACGCTTACGTGATATTGAGAAAAAATTAAAAACACGTCAACGTTATAAGAAAAACCGAAAACAAACAAATACAAATCGATCTGTTAATCAACATTCATCACTTAATGTTATTGATGATGATAAAGATATTTCGATTAATTTAAATTCAGATGAAGATAATAATGATGATGAAACGAGTGAAAATGAAGATGAACATGAACTTATGAGATATGATGATAAAACATCAAGTGAAACATATCTACTTGGTATATTTCGAAAACATGATCAGGAAGACCTCGAACTCGGCTTTCTTACTGGTGATTCACTCAAAGCTGATGTCAAATTTGTCGAACAACGACGATCACAACAAGAACAACAACAACAACAACAGTCTACGTTAATCACCACTATAGCATCAAAAGTACCGATAATTGAAAATGTTTTGGAACAAATATCATCCTTTCCTATAAGTACGAATACTATATTTTCACAACGTGAAGATAGTTCGTCTAACATCATATCCGACGATGAAGAAGATCGAAATTCCGTGGTTGAAGTTCCTGTTAGTAAAAAAGGTTGGTTTCTTTTACTGAAATTCTAGTAAAATGACAATAATCGATGTTCAAATGATAAGAGAAAAAAGAAACAAATAGTCACGAGTATTTTGTCATGACAAGAGAAAGTCACTTTTAAGTATCTATCAAAATAGTTGTGATTAGTTTTAATCCGAAAAAAAAGCAAACTATTCAAATTGAAAGGATGTACTACGTAGAATAGATAACTGTCTAAAGATATTTAATCCAAAGTGAAAAAAGCAAGACTTTCATACAGCAAAGTACGAAAGTCATGCTTTTTTCCACTTGATTTAATCACTCTATTAATATTCATTGAAAAACTCTAAAGCTTTTAAGTTAAAAAATCGTGTCATTTAATTTTTTAAAAGAATATATCAAAATTTTCTCTGAAATAGGAAAGGAAAAACTAAAAATGTCGCTTAAGTTCAATAGACAATCTTCCAACATGCAGGAAAAAATATATAGTAAAATTCTTTTTCATCAAAGTATAATATGAAATTGAAAGATTGAAAATAGTCATTGCATGTGATTATCAAGAAAATGTCTATACACATTGAAATTATCATTATAATTTCTTTATATTGTTTTATTGAGTTTTCTTCTGAGGAAAGCATAGGAGTTAAAAAGAAAAGAACAGAAGTCTCTCATAGCGAACAATGAAATTTTCGAACAAGCAAATTCGTTTGTAATTATACATGTTTGTACGAGAAAGAATCGACAGAACATTAGATAAAAAAATTTTGGCAATATGTTTGGCACTATCTCTGATTTACTTTGACAAAAGCCTTTCATCTTTTTATTGAATATTCAATACAAGCATCTTTTAGGCATAAGAAAATTAGGATTTTAAAATTTATTGGTTGAAATTTTGATTTATCAGAGAAAAAAATATATATGTTTTGTAATGCTAGATAACCTTTATCATTCGATTTTATGAAGAAACTCTGTAAAAGTTACATGTTTCTATTAATCATTTAGTGTCAGTGTATTAAAAAGAAAGATCAACAATTTGTATCGAAAGTTAATAGAAGTTGATCAAATAAAGATATGAGTTTTCATTGTATTGTATTCGTTCTATGTATAATTCTTCATTGAAGTCCTAACTTATTTTTATAATTGAAGCGAGTTCAACGTTAATTTTACAATCTACACGCTTCATCAAGTTAAATATTGACGTATATGTTCCTTTTTGTTCTCTTCATAGATACATAATTGTCTTTATTGTCAACAAATAACAATTTTTTCTCAACGAAATTGAAGTTATCTTCTTCTACAATAATCAAGAATTACAATAACACTCTTATGCATGAGTCCATGTCAAAATCATTTATGTTAATCAAGAAACCAGAATAGCAACATCTCCTTGTTCGTTTTTTAATTTTTGTTTGATTGAAGCATTTACTTTTCATACTCCTTGATGAAATATTTATTATAATCGATTATAGTTTTACTTCTTAGATATAAATAATAAATTTGATAAAATGGAATTGATGCGAAAGTAATGTCATTACTTGCAGATGAATCAGCTTTGTCGAAAATCATTTTTAGAAAGATTTCGATTTCAACTTGATTTGAAAACAACTCTGTCAAATGATTATGTCACATTCCTCAGAACTGGAATTTTATAATATGTATTATTATAATTTTTTCAAAGACATGTTCAATAATAGAATAGAAAGATGTTTTTCATGAATCCTAGAGAATGTAAGTGATCTTATTGTTCTTAGTGCTCATTATAATGATTGGCTTATAATACCGGATGTCCCAAAAGTCATGATCACTTGATAAATGCATGCATATAACTCCACTATTAGTGAACCTTAATCCAAACCTTTCTTTTTATTTGAAAGAGGAGACTAGTAAATTTTTATGCTTAAAGACCAACCTCATAAAGACTATAGAAAAGGTAGCACTTGTAGCTAGAAATCAAAAAATAGAGTTTTTTCGATATCTATTAGAATTTCGATGGTTATGACGATCGTTAGATATTTCATTATTGTTTGACAATCATTTTTCGACATATTACAAAACGATCGAATAATTGGTGTATTTCGTCAAAGTAAATCGTTTCTGACTCTTTGAATACTATTGCAAACATGAATACGAGCATGTTACATAGTTTCATAAGTCATCTTGTTAGTAGAATTGGTTCTCTTGCTTTCTTTTCTCAAGATTATATTATAAAAATAGATTTGAATAATCTGAAGTACGTAATAATGATTGAAATTCGAATAGCTACTGGAAAAAACACTGCATCTTATTTTCGGCATCGAAAAAAAGCCTAAATACTAAATAAATCTAGATTATACTCTTCCCGAAAATAACGTCATAGGAGAAAGTAATTATCTAATTAGTCAATATAGAAATGCTTGTTAGAAGAATCTATATTGTTTGTTATTATGAACAATATTCATGTAAAAAATATTGAGAATGTTTTCTTTGAAGAAGTCTTATTGGAGAAAACAAGTTTTGTATAAATATTTATAAACTGAGTATCTTGTTTTGTCACAATAGTGTTATCAAAGAAAAACTAACGGTGTATATTCTGATTTTTCTAGCTGTTTTTACTTAGCAAATAAATACAATTATAAGAATCGAACAATACTTTTTCTGAATTTTCTAGAAATTTCAATGATGCGTGTAATATTTCGAACATCATTAGAAATTCTTTTACAAATAAAAATCATGATTTAGAAGCTAAAAATTGAAATGTTTTGAATATGTTTTTAGGAATATCGATATATTTTTCCACAACTTGATAATATCGATAAAGTTGAAAATTACGAAAATCATCGAGTAATTAAAAGAACCTTCACGAAAGGGAATAGTCTAAAACCACCAAATCCAAATGTTTAGTTCATTAGGATGTACTATAGTAAAGTTAACCAATACTAACTTCTGAACACTGTCAAGTTATTATCAAAAAAATAGTCAAAAATTGTCCTATAAGTGTTTATTGGAATTATTCTTCAACAAGTCAGTTATTTTTTTCGCGCTTATTACATATAATATATTCACTGTTTTTTTTTTGTAGTCCAACATGCATCAGAAATGTAACAATTTATGAGTTCGCAATGGTCAATTTTTGACAGTATATTCGCTGTCAATATTCGAAATTAAATAAGCTCACAGTGGATTTTATATATGTTATGTAGATTTTCATTCTCAAAAAATAGTAAAAAACTATCGAAAAAAAGTTTATTTTCGAGGCAAAATAGGGGACACGATTGTGAGCTAAAATGATTGTGATATTCGGAATCAGCGTCAAAAACTATATTGAGTCGAATAAATTCTTGGCAAATCTTTTTCCTATGAAAAACCGACCCAAGGAACCACGGGTCAGAATTTTAATAAAATTCAACCATGGGAGATTCCAGAACATAAATATATCTAAACGTTTCCATTTTAAAATCATATAACAAGTATACATAATTTTATTCAAGAAAAAAATGCTCAAGATTATTATGAATTTCCATTCACTGTCTCACGTGGCACAAACATGTTAGCGAGCTCATTACAATAACTAATTGATAATCAAAATGGCTACATAAGAATTAATAGTTTCGTTTCAACAAGTACCTATAATGATGTTACTTTGTGTTTTGCTGGAGTAAGTCAAACAAATGGATATAATCAGATTTATAGGGATAGTCAAAGTATTCTACTCAAACATACTATCGGAAATGATATTCGACAACCATCTGTTTGTACATCAAATGAAAACAAGCATTAGGAAATGACTTTCAAATCATACAATACAATATATACTAAATTACAAAAAAATTTAGGTGATATTTCATCTACATTCGACGATGTATATGTAACAGAATAGCTTTATCGAGAAATATTAAAAGATTATGCACTTATTCATGATGAAGTTGGAATAGTACAGAAAGTAAAGATTATGCAGTAGCACTTGAAAAATTCGAAAGAGTTCTGAATTCACTTCATTGCCAATTAATCTGTGAGTAGAACCATTTCGACCAATACCACATTATATTTGTTCTAAGACGTTAGTTCCTTTTACCATTCATATTAATCGAAGATTTGTATGCCAACGGTTTGTTAGAGACTCGAATGCACATAAATTCTATGAGCAAGAATTTGAAACCGGAGGTATAATGCTAGACAGAATCGATATACACAATAGTATAGGTATTCTATTATATAATACTGAATGTATTGGTGGCGATCTTCTCTTTCCTCACACTCGTATTAAGGATTTAAAGTAAAAGTTACAAACAGTCACTATTCTTTTCCTCGTAGGAAAGCATTTAAAAAAATGAATAATCTAGCTGTGTGGAATTATCTAGCATGTACCTTTCCACTAATGCATTGAGAGAACTTCATATTATAAAAGGTATAGTACATGTGGCAATGAGTATGCCAAGTATATACTCGATGAACATATTCAAATGAATAATATTGTTTCAAAGGACGTGTATGCTCTTCTCCGAAAAGACAAACAATAATGTGCTTGTTCTTTTACGGCCATAACAAAACAAATTTCGCATATCTTTTTACTTACGGTGTATATGTAAATCATCACTTTTATTTACTTCATTACTCTATTCTTCATTGAGAATTACCGAAGAAACTGAATTGTATTCTTCTTTAATCTCTGCATAGCATAAAGGACATGAAAAAAGTGCATTTTTTTTTATGCAGACAAGAAAAGAAAAATTACATAACTTTCTTCACATGGCGTATTATTGAGCAAATGGGAGTGGCAATCGCTTTATTTCATAATTTGTAGCAAACAAACATTTCATGATTATTTAAGATTTAACTCACACTTTTTGTCGATTTAAAAAAAAATTCTATAATGAAAAGAGAAAATAATTCGTTCTCCTATATAAATCACAGGTTTGAAAATATTGCGTATAGAATTCTCTGCAAAATAGTATCCATGAAAACCCGATAGGTATCGCAACATGGTTTAGAAACTTATTTTTGATTAATTAGTTATATATCTGACTCAATAAATTGATTTACATCTGAATGATATTACAAAAACAAAAAAAGAAAGTTAAAACCAAACGATTAACATTGACTTGTTTTATTTCTCTCATTTCATGACAATATACATAAATGTCAAGAGTATTAAAGAAAATTATTTTCTTTTATCTGTTACAAGCAGAAATTTTTTAAATATAGAACACATACTTAAGAGTTTAATAAAATCGTAGATGAAAAATTTTGGAGATGTTTATCAAAATGAACATCTTCTCTTCATTGTAATTCTAACACTATCACGAGTAGCGAAATTTTTGTTCCATTCTTTTTTATGCCTCAGAAGGGTTGACTTTCACAAATCATTTCGATAAACTAAGGATAATTCATAAAGCATCAAGTAGTTTTTAGTCAAAGAATACTCACAAACAGATTGTTTCACTTCTTTGTTGTTCATTAAAAAAAGTGATAGTTGGTAGGTACGGATAATATCTGCTGAATTCTACTTGATAAAAACGATAAATATACATTATTTCTTTCTTTTTATGTACACACAACTTAGTATATTGTCCTAGTTCTACCATAAAAAGCAAAAATGTTTAAAATAAATCGATACAAAAAAAAAATTGAAGTTAGTTTTAATTACATGACAGTAAATGCTATAAGAAAATTCTTTCTTTCTGTCCACCCTTAATGATTTGATAATTGTTAATGAGACCAACAATGATATTATTCACTTGTTTTCCTCATCTTATTGAATAACTAAAATCTTTTTCTTATTGCTTATTTCATAAAAATAAGTTATATTTAGAAATACTTCGTCTTGCCAATATCATTAAAAAAAAAATAATAATATTTTTAATTAGAAAACAGTTCTTTTTTTTAAACATTTACATCCAATTGACAAAAAAATAGAAACTAAGTAATTGACATGAATATGAATATGAGTGTTGGATGAACTCATGGATGATAATCTACATGTGTTAGTCGAGAAGATAAACAGAATCCGACGTTCACATACCCACACATAAAAACTTGATAAAAACGCGGTTTCCTATATACTATTCAATGTGATAACACAAGGTGCTCTACAGAAAAAATCGCATTTTTTGTCTCAGTTCTATGTATCACCAAATTTGATAAGATCCTTTTTGGTGATTAGAAGGAAGGAGATCCCACACTGTTCCTTTCTTGTACGGCCAGTCCTGAATAGATCAAGATGTATATTGGCATAGAAGTGGATGAATCGAGGATGAACGACTGCCCGGATAGCAGCATGTAATGTTTGTCTCATTCAAATAGTGCAGACCGCTGTTTTCAGTCAGAACAAAAGGTGATCCAACATGTTTTTTCAGTCGTTGAAAGACATCACGCATCGCACTTAGTTCTTTTCCACCATGTAAAAACATGAATACTTTATGACAATATTTCTGACATGTTATATTTTTCGTTTCGTACTCCGATAAATAGCCAAAAAATGGATCGATTTGACATAGTGTATGATTGGCCTTGGCTTGCCAGAGAAGAATATTTATGCCTGTCTCATCAAAATTTGCACCGATGAAGTGACCATGTCGCATTAAAGCTAAAGCATCTCGAAGAAATGGATATGCTCGATAGTTCCATGAGAATTGAGCGTGAACATATGGTGTAGTTCGTCCAGCTAGTTTGAGATTAAATTTCTTCAAAAAGTGGAGATAATTCATAGGATCATCGGGATGACGAGGTGCTAATGGTAATGGATATGGCCAATGACGTATGACATCGAAGAGAATATCGATATTCCAATTGACAACGCTATCTGCTTCTAATTGTACACCATAGTCAACTTGACTATCTACCATGGCATAAATTTTGCAGAAGTATATCGATCGACCACAATCTTTTCGAGCTAAGCGCCGTTTGATTAAGCGAGGATATTTTTTGGTGTCAAGTGCAAGATCAACATCGATGCCATAGGCAATAACTGGACGTGTAGAAAAGTAATGAACAGAATCAAGCAAATTACCCAGAAGAGCAAGATATTTAGGTGTATTATCGCTGAAGACGACGAAAGCTTCACTTGGTGTACTGTTCAAGAATGGCCCAGAGACGAGTGGCTTCGGTAAGGTTGACGTACGACCGATTGCAACGGAAAAATTACTGATTGACTCTGTTGATGTCAACACTACGAAATGATATGGAACTGTCGTCTGACGATGAAGAACATAAATAAATAGCGGCAATATGATGCCGAGAGAAAATAAAATTCGAAAATAGTAGTTTTGGAAGTCCAGCATAGTTTCTAGTAGAGAAAAGGAGTGAGAGTCAATTTATGAACAAGAGATAAACTCGATTCCGGTTTTGCAAAATTTAAACCGAACCAAAAAAGAAAACAAAATTGATTCTATTAGATATAGCTAAACGTTTGTAATTTTTATCATAAAAGCCGTCTTATTTGAAACAATTGTTGTCTAAACTTCTTCTCTTACAATAGAAGATCCTTGTGAATTAGTTTACTAATGAGCAATTTGTAACCTCAAACAGTAAATCTACTCGGAAAATGTTTAGTTTGCACTACTCTCATTTAAAAAACAATAACGTTGTAGCTAAAATGACTTCTACATCTTTCTGATACTGAAAGATTTATTCATCACAGCTAAACTGTTCGGTTTTTCCAGAGCATCTTTTTAATTTAAATACTTAACAAACAGAAATATAGTAGAAAACTTCTCCGGAGTACATATCAATTTGAACATAGTAGAGTGTCCGAGATTTTCTATGAAAAGAGTAGAGGGTACTATATACATAGAAATTCATGCTTTTATCGTTATAATGTATTTTTACTTTATTCGTGTTAAGAAGAGTGCAATATTGACATTGAACTGAGTTTGATTGAGTTGACAATGACTTCAAGGCTTTATCCCTAAAAGATAGAACTCATTTGTTTATGTTCTGGTTTTTGTAGACAAAGAATGAATATAAATATATTAGTAATTTCATTTCTACATATGAAATTTTATTTTATTCACTTTTCTTATGTTACATATATTAGTTAAGAGGCGCCAGACATGTATTAAACCTGACCCAGATTCATGCAAATTTCTAGACTCATCTCTACCTGTCGATCTGCGCTGCGTGATTGTTGGTTTTGTTTCGACAACAAAAATAAGTGTACAGTTTTGTTACTTACTGAATTACACAATATTTCTTACTCTGAATTTTTGTTTAAACGATTGCGATAAGAAAATCTTCAAAATTCGAATTTTTTTTTCTCTCGTTCTCTCGTCGAATTTTATTTTGTAAGGTCATTCTTTTCTATTCTGTTCTATGCTTCAATTAATACTCATTTCAACACGTTGTTAATCAAAATGTCGTTGTCGGATGATGTATGGTTTTTTCCTCCATTACTCTTGATTCTATATTGCAACTTCTTCGAAGAAAGAAGTTGAATTATACCGCCAATTGTGGGTGTATAGCCGTAGTATTCTTGCAGAATGCTGCATAAATTTCATATTGTCATTATTGTATCTTGTCTTGAGAGCTGATTTTGGATCGACATGCAGAAATGTATTTTGTGTTGTCAATGAATGGCAAGCGGCTCAGCCTATCTTATTTTGAGCAAATTCAACATTCTAAGAGAAGGACATATCTTCGGCTCATGAATTTGGGTGAAATTATTGAATGCACTGAGTTATATGTATCATAAAACTTTAATGTATTTTTCGTTGTTTCTTGATAAATAATACAGAAATTACAAAACTAATTTTCCACTGAAGTCCAAACAGACTTAAAAAATATTTTGAAAGTACTTTGCATAACTTTCTGAAAAATGAGAGCATTTCTTCAAAACAGTGTAGTAATAAATACTTGTTGAAAATATGTCCCTGTATATGATTATCGAGTTTCAGATGGATTCAAAGTGCAGTGGAATTGGAAGATTAAAAATATGAAAACTACATATTGAAAGGGATCATTTTGAATATTTTGTTTTTTGGTTTTTTTAATGTGAAAATTCGATCTGACTCCGAATAAATCTGGAACGCTGTATTCCCATCCTTTGCTCTCTCTCCCACAAGCATTATTACTACACATTTCGAGGTGATACTTTCGTTCGTCAGAAAGTTGTGCAAAGGATTAACCTTAATGAGCTATTCAAATGGTTACAAGGATTTGGTTTTTTAGGTCACCTCAGCTTAGATATACGATTATTACTATTACTATTTTTGCAGTACTATTGTATTAATATATTCGATATCTTGACTAAACATGCTCCAATCTGGCTCTAACTTATATCAGTACTAAGGAACTCAGTACTGATTAAGACTTCAGAGTTTGAAGATAAATAATTGTTTCTTATCGAAGATATGAATCTGTTTGACACACTGATTGATTATTAAAAAAATAGCATGTGCTCTTGATCAAAGATGCAAGTATTGATTCCTCTGATATTTTCAGCACACATTCATTTCATAGTAAGCATCAGAGATGAGCACAGGACAGGTCAGGAAAGGAAAATGTTGTTCTGTGTTCATCTGTAGTACGATATATACAAAAATGCGAAAGTTTTCTTTAAGTGTTTGCGCTACTGTTTTTTTCTTCATTATCTTGTTTTGGACTTAGTAATAGTTATACTATTGCAACATCTACATATCTATGTGTTACTCATATTTTATGCTACTGTTCACTATATGAATATCGTTGTACCGATGAAACACTTTACTAGGTAGATCGTGCTCTACAGGATGTCCCAAAAGTTATGATCACTTAAGAAATGCGATTAACTCTCTTATTAATAAAGCTTTATCACATAATTTTTTTTGAAAGAGGAGACCAATAAGTGTTTATTCATAAAGACAAAGTTCATAAATAAGGTTTAATAGTATGAATTTTAACTCTAATAGAAAAATGTAGAAGTTTCACAGTTTCTAGAAAAGCGTTATGTGAAGTTTCTTTTTTTTATTATTTCGATTTCTTTTGCTATTATAATCTTTAAATCACCCATAAATTTTATAGTTGCTTCTAAGACATTCGGCTTGAGATGTTCCCCAAAAAAAATGAATTCGATGGTGTGAAGTCCTCCAATTCAGGAGCCCATGAACTTGACTCACCTCCTCTAATCCAGATGTTATCAAAGACTTTGACTGATAAAGCATCTTCATTCAAGTATCCAATGACAGAAAATATCATTTATTGAAAAAGTGGACGCATACGCATGTTTCTTAGAATCAGTTGGTGCTTGATAAAATCAAATCTATGATGCATGCAGATTAGAGGAGGTGAACCAAGTTGGTGGGACTTCTGGATCGGAGGAGCTCACACCATTGAATTCATGTTTTTGGGAACATCTGAAGCCGAATATCTTAGAAACAACTGCACAATTTATGGGTGATTTAAAAATTATAATAGCAAAGGAAATCGAAATAATAGAAAAAAAAAGAAACTTCACATAACGCTTTTCTAGAAACTGTGAAACTTCTACTTTTTTGTATTTGAAATAAAATTCATACTGTTAAACCTTATTTATGAACTTTGTCTTTACGAACAAGCACTTATTGGTCTCCTCTTTCAAAAAAAATGATGTGATAATGACTTTTGGGGTACCCTGTAGAACACGATCTACAAGTAAAGTGTTATAATAGTGTCTTATTCTGTTCACTTTTCGTTCTTTATTGGCTCAATTCTTATTCAAGAAAAGAATTGTGATAAATAAAAAACATGAAGTAATAAATTGATTATAGAATATCTAAAACATCTAATACATGTTTTACTTAACCAAAAATTAAACATGCTATTCTGTCCTGCCGCTCAGCAGGATGTGGATGGACACAGGACAGGACATGTCAGGAAGGAAAATGTTGTCCTGTACTCATCTCTGGTAAGCATGCATATGGAAATGTCAGCTCATTCGTCTGTGATCTAGTTAACAAAAATTGGAAGAACGAGCTAGTGTACTTTTCATCATGTGATTTATTTTCAGTGACATATTTACAAATCAAAAAAGAATAAACAACAACAAAGAAAACGAAGTGAATCGTTTAATTAGTGGAAGTGAGAATTGTTGAAAGTGTTCACAGGCATGACGAACAATTACACCTATCATATATAAAATGCTAATAGAAATTATGCATCAAGATTAAATATATACATATATATATTCAGAATGACTATGAACTTCTACAGATACCCCATCTTTCACTTTACATACCGTTCTCTTTTCAATTACGTAAGTACACAATTACCTCTGTTGGCCAATTTCGACTAGGGGTGGGAAGTTCCCGTTCCGTTCCCAGGTAACGGAACGGTCTGATAACGTTAACTTTCCACCCCTGATTTCGACTATGCACAATTCTATGCAAACACATTCAAACAAAAAGAAATTATTTCGGTCAGTGAAATACGTATGCATACCTTGTAAGAGCAAGCTGCAACAATAAAGGGAAGAACTTTCAATAGATTTTTACAAGAATGCGACTGCTACACAACGATGACGAACAACAATGAGAATCGATTTTTTTTCTCCAAAGAAATTGTAATATCGCCTCAAGAGTAACAGCAGAAAAAGCAAACATCACCCGACACTGATTGTGTGAGTAGCAATACATTGAAGGCAATTTTAACTGAGGCACAGAACAGAACAGAAAAAAATGCACTTGTACAAAACAAAACTCCGAGAAAGAAAGAAAGAAAGAGAAATTTTGAATTGTAATCATCTCTCTTCACCACTCTATATTAGGAATGTCACTTTATCTTTACTTTACCAATAAAAGTAAACTGAAATAACTTTAATTTAGTCGGTAAAGTAAAATAAAATAAGATAAAGTAGAACATTTAGGTGTTTTTTTACTGCCTAATTAGTGCATCA